GACAGCAACCCGGCCCCCAGCTCAAAAAGGTTGCCTACCTCTGTTCTATGTGCTCTATTTCCCCTTCCACAATGGTGTCATTTTCCATGTGGATCAGACAAGGCAAATAACTAGTGGCCTGTAATATTTGTAGCAACCCTCTGTAAATGTGTGTGTCATCACATTCATGTTGCCTGTTGATTTGGGGTTGACTGACCTCATGAATTTCATAAGGTTTTCTTAGGCAATGAATCCTCAGAACTGGTTTGCCACTGCCCTGAAATATAGCCCTCCCCTGCAGTACCTTGACAGCTTACAGTTTATCATACCCTATCCATCCTTGAGGTAATTCTGTATGATATCACTGTCAACTAGGAACTTTTACACTAAGGTGATAGCTCCAGGAATGTACGATCCACTTAAACAATGAAAATGACATATGTGGCATAGCAAGGATCCCTCTACCCCCCACCCCCCTTTTCAGACTGGTTGATGGATAAGCCTGGGACTAGGCATTTGAAAATTTCCCCCCATATTTTTTAAAAAGGGGTTTGCACGTGTGTGCCATAGTATGTATGTGTCACACACACACACACTGCAGCTGTGCAGAAAAGTGTACCCTACCTCTTGTTATTTCACAGGCTCAATCCCATGCAATTAGAACATTTTTTATTACTATGTTTTTAACGAAATGTGTTTTATTGTTTGTGAGCTGTCTTGGGTACCTTTGCAGGAGAAATGCATCTAACAAACAGTTGCTGGCTTCCATGTTAATCAACTCTATATGCATGCACATGGTTGAGAGAGATAGGCTCATTTCCATGAGATTCAGAAATATGTCTACATGTTACTTACCCATCTGTACATGTATGAATGTTTCTGCTTTTTTACATGCTCTATTCCTTGCCACTGATTATTTCCCCCTCCAAGCTATCAGCTCAGCAAGCGCATTATTTTCTGCTTTCTGACCATGGCATTACTGTATTCTAGGCCATGGTTTTGCTGCTGAGATATAACAGATAAGCATTGCTCAATGGTAGGGGACTAATAAGAATGTGCAACAAGTAAATTTAGCTTCTGTGTTAGGCCTCAATTCATCTGGTCCTGGCAATTATGAAAGAAGTTGCTTGAACACTTGGGCTGAATTTGCATGAGGGCTGTATCCAAGTTCCACTGTGTAGTATCCCTGCTCCAGTTTGACCCCTTTACTGCCACACACAACTGTTTTAATTGAAAGTAAATTAGTTTGGTGGTGTTTCTAGTGTATGCACATGTTAGCTGTATTGATTTATGTTCAGTTACACAACTGTAGCAGATCCACATAGTTGTTTTGCATAGTTGTTTAAGGAAACAACCTTTTTGTTTCCCCATCATTCTGATTGCTCACTTGTGCTTCTATAAAGTAGCTCAGGGGTAGGCAACCTAAGGCCCAGGGGCCGGATGCGGCCCCCCAAAGCCTTTGGACCGGCCCCAGGCTGGTCCTGCCGCCGCCGCCACCCACCATCCACCATGATGATATTGATTATTGTTGTTATTACTTGTTCTTGGGGTTTTCTTGGCAAAATCTCCACAGGGGTTTTGCCATGGCTTTTCTGGGGCTGAGAGAGTGTGCATGCATATATTTTTTAAAAAAATTAAAAAATATTTTTATTTCTATTTATTTATTTTTGGTGCTTTGGCCCCCCAATTGTCTGAGGGACAGCAACCCGGCCCCCGGCTCAAAAAGGTTGCCTACCCCTGATTTAATAATAATAATATAATAATAAATTTTATTTTTATCCCGCCCCTCTGCATAGCAATCGGGGCGGCTCACAACAATTAAAATACAATAGAGGCTTCTAGCATTGCTATAATTTCAAGTTGACTTGACAGCAGTTAACAATACGTTATCTTTTCCAGATTTATTTGCCTGCAAAAATACTGGGCACAGGTAAGAATGCCTCATTAGCATGAATTAGTTGTTACCAATTTTTTATTTCAGGGATAGACATTTCCATCATGCTCTTGGTCCCCTGGAGCAATTTAGGCCTAGAATAGTCCTCTAGTGCCTTCTATTCACTGCCTCTTTTTTTTTCTGGACTTAAAAACATGACAAAATGCCCCCTCTTGTTGTTCTTTGTGTCAAGTTGTTTCTAACTTATAGGAAACCTATCACAGGGTTTTCTTGGCACGTTCCCTCCAAGGGGTTTTGCCATTGTCATCCTCTGAGGCTGAGAGCATGTGACTTGCCCAAGGTCACCCAGTGGTTTGATGTGGCTTAGCCAGCATTGGAACCCTGGTCTCCAATGCTCAAACCACTACTCAACCGTAAGAAAAGTGGAAAGCTTGCTTGCCTCCCATACTAAGTAAAACTAGACTGCTGAGAAATACAGAAGAGTGAATTAATGGGAAGAAGAGACAAAACTGGGCCAGGAAATGACTGCAAGAACATAAAAATGTATTTTGGACTCCGCTGGATAAACAGAGCAACTGGGTCATCCAACTTTAAGCTGCACTTCTCTGTGTGTGTGTCTTCAAGTCACCTGTTCAGCCCATGAATTTCAGTTTTTTAAAGTGTAAATCTGCACTGCAGGAATAATGCAGTTTGACACCACTTTAACAGCCATGGTTCAATGCTATGGACCTCTGGGATTTGTAGTTTTGTGCGACATTTAGCCTTCTCTGTCAGAGAGTTCTGGGACCACAGCAAACTAAAAACAAAAACAAAACAGGATTCCATAGCATGGAGCCATGGCAGTTAAAACAATGTCAAACAGCATTATGTCTGCACTTCAGGTCAGACCTTAAGATACAGAATATGCCAAGCTAGTTTTACTGGTTTCCTCCTCTGAATTATAGTGCACCCTCAAAACACCCTGCTGCTAGACCTCCTTGTAAGGAAACATCATTATTCATTTTAGATCCAGACTTAATAAAAATGCCCCACCCCAGGAGTAGTTCTCCCACCTTCCCCATATAAAAGAAATTAGGATGCCACCAAATCTTGACATCTCTCATCATGTGACAATCCATCGTCAGGAAGAGGAAATGCCAACAAGGCATAACAGGAAAAAAAAAATCCAAGCATAAACCAAAGGCTCCAAGTTCAGCCCAAGCTCCAGGAGTCATTCAAATATTGCAGGAAGTGACCTTGGGCAAGTCACTCTTTCTCAGCCTCACAGGATAATGGAGAAACGTGCTGAGAAAACGCTATGATAGGTTTGCCTTAGGGTCCCCATAAGTCAAAAATGACTTGGAGGCACATAACAAAGGATAGAAGATATATCTAGGATTTTTTATGGGGGGGGGG